CCAGCCGTTCCATGGAGAGCACCATGGAAGCGGGTACTCCCAAGACGTCAGCGAGGATGTTGGTCTCGTCACCCTCAGGTGGCTCCTGGAGACCTCGCAGGATAATGTTGTTTGCACGCTCGCTTCTCTCTACTTCTTCTGCTGTTACGGCTCGCAAGTTCAAATCTGTTCGGTACGGTTGCACATTCCATGCCGGTTGTACATTCCATGCCGGTTGTACATTCCATGCCGGTTGCACATTCCATGCCGGTTGCACATTTCTTGCTGGTTGCACATTCCATGCCGGCTGTACATTCCATGCCGGTTGTACATTCCATGCCGGTTGCACATTCCATGCCGGTTGTACATTCCATGCCGGTTGTACATTCCATGCCGGTTGTACATTCCATGCCGGTTGTACATTCCATGCCGGTTGTACATTCCATGCCAGTTGCACATTCCATGCCGGTTGTACATTCCATGCCGGTTGCAAATTCCATGCCGGTTGCACATTCCATGCCGGTTGTACATTCCATGCCGGTTGTACATTCCATGCCGGTTGTACATTTCGTGCCGGTTGTACATTTCGTGCCGGTTGTACATTCCATGCCGGTTGCACATTCCATGCCGGTTGTACATTCCATGCCGGTTGTACATTCCATGCCGGTTGTACATTCCATGCCGGTTGTACATTCCATGCCGGTTGTACATTCCATGCCAGTTGCACATTCCATGCCGGTTGTACATTCCATGCCGGTTGCAAATTCCATGCCGGTTGCACATTCCATGCCGGTTGTACATTCCATGCCGGTTGTACATTCCATGCCGGTTGTACATTTCGTGCCGGTTGTACATTTCGTGCCGGTTGTACATTCCATGTCGGTTGCACATTCCATGCCGGTTGTACATTCCATGCCGGTTGTACATTCCATGCCGGTTGTACATTCCATGCCGGTTGTACATTCCATGCCGGTTGTACATTCCATGCCAGTTGCACATTCCATGCCGGTTGTACATTCCATGCCGGTTGCAAATTCCATGCCGGTTGCACATTCCATGCCGGTTGTACATTCCATGCCGGTTGTACATTCCATGCCGGTTGTACATTTCGTGCCGGTTGTACATTTCGTGCCGGTTGTACATTCCATGCCGGTTGCACATTCCATGCCGGTTGTACATTCCATGCCGGTTGTACGCTACAACTACTAGTAGCACGGGGTTCCTGGACCTGGTCGGCATTCCTGCATCCTCCAGGCGGGACAGCCTGTCCTGGTTCCTGGACCTGGTCGGCGTTCCTGCATCCTCCAGGCGGGACAGCCTGTCCTGGTTCCTGGACCTGGTCGGCATTCCTGCATCCTCCAGGCGGGCCAGCCTGTCCTGGTTCCTGGACCTGGTCGGCGTTCCTGCATCCTCCAGGTGGGACAGCCTGTCCTGGTTCCTGGACCTGGTCGGCATTCCTGCATCCTCCAGGCGGGACAGCCTGTCCTGGTTCCTGGACCTGGTCGGCGTTCCTGCATCCTCCAGGTGGGACAGCCTGTCCTGGTTCCTGGACCTGGTCGGCATTCCTGCATCCTTCAGGCGGGACAGCCTGTCCTGGTTCCTGGACCTGGTCGGCGTTCCTGCATCCTCCAGGCGGGACAGCCTGTCCTGGTTCCTGGACCTGGTCGGCGTTCCTGCATCCTCCAGGCGGGACAGCCTGTCCTGGTTCCTGGACCTGGTCGGCGTTCCTGCATCCTCCAGGCGGGATAGCCTGTCCTGGTTCCTGGACCTGGTCGGCATTCCTGCATCCTCCAGGCGGGACAGCCTGTCCTGGTTCCTGGACCTGGTCGGCGTTCCTGCATCCTCCAGGCGGGACAGCCTGTCCTGGTTCCTGGACCTGGTCGGCGTTCCTGTATCCTCCAGGCGGGACAGCCTGTCCTGGAAAGAACTAAGCTTCTCCCTCAAATCACGGTTTTCGGCCATTACTGAATTTAGCTTTTCCCCAAAGTCTGCAAATGCATCATCGAAGCGCTTGGACATACTTCGCTGCTCTTCTAGCATGTCTGCAAGCAGTTTCGGCACGCTGTCAGAAGCAGGACAGTGGTCTGCACAGGCTCCAGTCCTGGTCAAGTCTGACCGTAGCTGGTCCGGTGGAGTCAGGGCGGACTTCTTGCGGTTGGCGGCATTGGCCTGTCTCCCCGGCGAAGTTCTGAGGTCCACCTTACTGGCACTATTATTTCTACTAAGTAACGACATTACTTCAGCTGTTTTAGGGTTGCAAGGAAGTCTACGTGCAGCTAGAACTCGTGTGTTGGCATGCAGTAGGCGCATGCCAAGGCACATTGCATGCCAGTATCACACATCTTTCAACCTTTTACATAGTACTAGTATCACACAGAATATAAGCCATGCGAATTGCTGGCCTTCAAGCAGCATTTCCATCTACATCATGTATAGTGTACATAATTTCACGGCGGTGTTGAGCACTGTCAGCACACTGGGTACATCCTCCGGGGTAATTTCACATGGACAAACTTTAGTACGGAATTAATTTTAAAAGGCGACGAGGAGACAATAACTTTATTAATGCGATTAATAGTATAAGTGAAGCGGACATTACAAAATGATGAATGAGAATACATGTATCTAAAATGGTTGTTCCTAATCGATTTTCTTGAGACTATCATCAGGGAAAAATCGTCTTACAATAGAGGCTATACGGAGAAACAAACTACTTATAGGTTATAGGATAGTGGGAAGTATACAAGGTGAGGTGTGAAAAGAAAAAAAGAAAGTGGGAGAGAAGACGAAAGAAATTAGAAGAAAAGATGTGAGAGTGTTCCGACGCATGCACCTACACCTCACAGTTCCTCACTCTATCACATTCACCTGCTTCCACGCCTTCATTTCACTCACCTTTTGTAGTAGCTCACACCGTCGGAACACTCTCACATCTTTTCTTCTAATTTCTTTCGTCTTCTCTCCCACTTTCTTTTTTTCTTTTCACACCTCACCTTGTATACTTCCCACTATCCTATAACCTGTAAGTAGTTTGTTTCTCCGTATAGCCTCTATTGTGAGACGATTTTTCCCTGATGATAGTCTCAAGAAAATCGATTAGGAACAACCATTTTAGATACATGTATTCTCATTCATCATTTTGTAATGTCCGCTTCACTTATACTATTAATCGCATTAGTAGAATTAATTTTAGTACAAAAGAGGCCGTGTACGAAATTGTACACAATAAATCCCGTCCGAAAATTTCCTGCAAAATAATAGATCGGTAGATAGGTAGACAGACAGACATACAGACAGACAGACAGACAGACAGACAGACAGACAGACAGACAGACAGACAGACAGACTGACAGACAGACTGACAGACTGACAGACTGACAGACTGACAGACTGACAGACAGACAGACAGACAGACAGACAGACAGACAGACAGACAGACAGACAGACAGACAGACAGACAGACAGACAGACAGACAGACAGACAGACAGACAGACAGACAGACAGACAGACAGACAGACAGACAGACAGACAGCAAGACAGAGGATATTGAAACAAGAGACAAGGCGCCAGCAGTTTGAGAACTGCGATGAACAGGACATGCTTTAATCACTCTCTGGCAGCTTTTCTTTTCTATCAGTACAATAAAGCTGTTATAGATGTGGACTGAGCTTGTCCTGTCCACCGGGGTTCTTGAAGAGAATACTCTTCTCGTTTTATAGAGAACAAGTCTAGCAATTGGTAGGGCTGAAACGAACATAAAATTTGAGTATTCGAACGTTCCTGATGTTAACGAACAAACGAACGAACATTCTCTAACATTCTCCTCGCACGTGCGTGCTCGCGCACGAACCGGCATCGGCAAGAAAATAGTGGAATTTTTGAATACAGTGTAGCAATAAACTTTTGTGGCGCACAAATTTTGCGTTTTCATGAATGCGGCTGGTTTGTGATGAGAAAATTTTGCGATTTTTACCTCTTTTGAACCTTGTAGTTGTGCTGTCTACAATACACGTACTGAGCAGTTTGTGGCGATTTTCTTCTCCAGGATGCCCAATGGCCACGAAAGTAGCGAAATTTAATCACTTGCGAAAGTTTTATGATGCTTTCAAAAGTTGAGGCACAATGGAAGCCTCCAACTGAGCAACGCCATACTGGCATTACTGCTACTGCTGAGGACCAGAACGTTGCGTAACAGCAACGTTTGTCATCAACTTGCTTCCTGTTCAGTGTTGATGCCGTAAAAATACCTGCACTCCCAGAGACGACAGAAGAATGCTGAAAGTTACCCTTGTTGTGTTTTCAGGTGCGCATAGAGGTTGCTCGCCGTTTTGCATTACTAAACATACGCTGCGGGAAATCCTGCAGGTAGTTTGACTTCTCATCCTCGGATTTGGTAAAATGATCCCAAACAACAGAATGGGGAGCACGACCGAAAACAGTTTCTGACATGGGAACAGTGCGAACTCGAAACAAAAGAAAACTACGAAGTGGTCAAAGGAAGAGCGAGCAGCAAAAATATGTAAGTACAAGTACTCGTGCTTTGTTCCGATGTTCGTCTACATGTCATCGCCTCCACTCCGATGTTCGTCTACATGTCGTCGCCTCGACTCCGATGTTCGTCTACATGTCGTCGCCTCGACTCCGATGTTCGTCTACATGTCGTCGCCTTGACTCCAGCCAAGTGCCGGTTCAGATTGTGAACCGCGCGCGCGTGGGTCGTGTAGGTCTACCACCTGGCGCAGCGCTGGTCACAAGCACACAGCTACACACAGGCGGTGTGTGAAACGATCGTGACTGATGGCGATGTTTTTACCGGTTTATACTATAGTACGGTACGCACATTCTCAAAGTTCTACGAATGTTCGTGAGAACTACGAATGTTCGTTCGCTGTGGCCTAACGAACGAATATTCGAATGTTCGGTATATTGTTTCACCCCTAGCAATTGGATAGAGGTTTGAAGATCAAAGATAAAAGTGAGTAGATATAAAGTAGGATTAGAAGCAACATTGTGTCCTCACCTTAGTCAGCTCAATATGTGAGTAATAATGCTGGACCAGTTTCTGAATGAGACTGTGGTAGCTCTCATTGGTGAAACCACTATAGAACATGTGTTCTAGAGTGCCAGTCTCATCCAATGCCGGCATCTTTGGGCACATGTTTGCTGCACAGGCAGGTTTGGGGTATCCACAGTCAATGTAGTTACCCTGAGAATAGAAGAAAAGGAAAACAGAATTGAAGGAAGAGCACTTCAACGTACCAAACTTCCAGTTTGAAGTAAATCGAATACAGTGCTGCAAAAGATCGGAGCTAGTTAGCAAGTGCAGGCATGAAAATAAGTACTACCTCTCAAAATTCTCACCATCAGCCGTCACATAACCTTCTCACCACTCGCAGTCGCAGGTGAGGTGCTGCTCATAATTACCCCATTGTCCTTCTTCTTGCCTCCCTCAGAAGAACATGTGGTTTCATGAGCCTAGGCCTAAAGTGTATTTTTGCACCCCATCAACCAACTCACGCATTTTTACAATTACACTATCAGCCCGGATCATCCATTCGCGCTATGATCCAAGCTTGCAGCCTATATCAATCCTATCTTCTGAAAATTGTAGTCAAGTTGCTGTCTGATGATCGGTTAAAACCGTGAAACTCAGAGTTACAGAAGAAACGCATTTGATTCCTTTGAATTTGGAATGGTGAGGAGGACGACGACGAAGTCCAACCAGACAGAGGAGAAAGGAAGGAAGTGGTGGTGGTGGACGTGGAGCTGCTCTCGCTTTCGCGACGTGGAATGTTCGTTCCCTTTTCGAGGACTCTGGAGACGAGCGGATCTGCAGAAAGCGGCAAAATAATAATTTGTCGATCGACCGTAAATTGGATTTCTTGGTCGCGGAGCTTCGGAGATATGGGATTGCTATCGCTGCGATCCAAGAGACAAAGTGGTTCGAGTCCGATGTCTGGAGAGCTGATGGCTATACGTTCTTGCACTCAGGTCGTCGTCTACCAAATGGCGATGGTCCTGCGCGTAGGAACGAAGGTGTTGGAATAATGCTGAACCCAGGGATGACGGAGGCTTGCTGGTGAGCAGTGGACCGCTGTAAGTTCGAGATTGGTTGTGGCCCGTCTCAAGCTCGCGGAGGCGGGAGAACTTCGAGTGCATGGCAAATGGCAGAGAAGGAATGATTTGTATGTGACAGTTGTGAGTGCGTACACACCAACCAGTAAAGCTACTGCACCCGTCAAAGATCATTTCTTTACAGATTTGCAGAGGGTGGTCGATGGTGTGCCAGCCAGTGATGTTCTGTTGCTGCTTGGTGACTTCAATGCTAGAGTTGGCAGCAGCAATGACGCGGGAGACGAATGGAGGGCTGTGTTGGGGAGATATGGTCACGGTGCGCGGAATGATGCTGGTGAGCGGCTTCTGATGTGGTGTGCTACCAACGGGCTGTCTGTAATGAACACCCATTTCCAGAAACCTGCGTCGAGGCGTGGGACCTGGATGCACCCAGCTACGAAGCAAACCCATCTCATAGATTTTATCATCATGAGGCAGCCACACCGTCGCTTTTGTCTTGATGTCAGCGTAATGGGCGGTGCCAACTGTTGGACAGACCACCCCATGGTTCGCAGCAGGCTTCTACTTGATCGTCCATTGTGCCGCAGGCCTCGCCCTGTGCCGAAACCCGCACCTGTTGCTGTCGGAAAGCTGGGTGACCCGG